ATGAAAGCCATCACTTTTTATAGCTAAATTTAGCATAGCTCGGCTAGACGTCAGTTTCCTTTCCATATACGCAAAAATATGATACACGTAAAAAAGATAACAGACATTTGGAAAACTTACACTTTCAGATTTCTTGCTCTGGTCACAGTCCCACATCGTCGTCCCACATTGCCTAGACCTCTCCATGGTGCTGAAGAGCTACCCTTGCCCATTTGAGAGGAGTTATTTATTCGAACTGGCTTTGAAAGAAATCCATAAAGAGTTGCCTGTGTTAGCAAGTAAAGTTATCTGAAGAATTTCTGTAACACATACTACAAAGGAGATGCTTTACCCTTCAGTTATCAACCATGATGATCAGGCGGCTCAAAGAAGATTTTGGAGCAGAAATCTTCAAGTATTGACAAAAAAGAGAGAGTTCTTTGGGAAATGAAGTTTGTTGATTTTCTTCAGTGTTCTTCAGATTGAAAATACACACACACACACACACACAATACAAGGCTAACTAGAGAACAGAGGAGTCCATAAAAGTTCTTGATCTTAATGCAGAAAACAAGCTCCCATTAGTCCAAAGCAACCAATTCACTTCATCCTATCATTGCATCTACTTTTTTGATAAAATAGTAAAATGAAATAAAGCTCAGAATTCAACAAGGCACTGCACACACTACGTAAACAGGTATGCCTTACTGTAGCTTTAGCCTCTGTCTGCTGAAGATTATCACAGAAGAAATCAGGCTCTTGTGGCTTTCACAGATTATCTCTTTCTGAAGCTGAAACATATAAAGAACCACATGACACCCAATGATGTCATCTCTAAAGCAGGTCACAGTTGCTGCTGTATGTAGATGAAGTCCTTCTAGTGAAGTGTTTGGCATAGTGATTTTCTTGAAAATCTACTTTCATTAAATAGCATGGTCTTTTATCAATATACTTAACCCTATCAAAATACTGCCATGAAGAGAAAATCAATTTATTGCTCACATGTGAAGAGGCGCCTCTGTTTAACTTAAAATCAGCTTCTGGTGCTGTTTGGAAATGAATAATTGTAATTAACTTAGTGAATATCGTGAAGAAGGAGCTGTTATGAGAACTAGAGGAACTGTAGAGACATAGAATCTACTCCTAAAAAATCTTACAGAATTTTTAGCAAGCTAAAAAAAAAACTTATTCTTTTTAAAATCAATCCATGAAAATTGCAGAATAAAAATTAAGGCAACTGCCTTCAACTTCTAACAACATTTTATGCAATGAAAAAATTTTTAAGATTTTATTTATTTATTTGAGAGAGAGAGCAGAGCGAGCAAGAGAGAGCACAAGGAGGGGAGGGAGAAGGAGAAGCAGACTTCCTGCTGAGCAGGGAGCCTGATGTGGGGCTTGATCCTAGGATCCCGGGGTCGTGACCTGAGCTGAAGGCAGACACTTAACCAACTGAGCCACCCAAGCGTCCCTATGCAATTAAATTTTTTAAATGTTTCAAAGACATAAAAAAAATCGTACTGGAAGGATCTGAGTATGTTTTCAAATGTTGGTAGGAAAATTTAACTTATTACTTTTAGATATTTTTCAGCTCTGAGTAAAGTAACAATTAAAATTTTAACTATACCTAATCTGTACATGTAACTGGTGATAGTAAACATAGATACTATTTTAAAGAATGTATAATAATGAGAAATGCCCATTTCCATTCTGTGTAATGTATTTCTTTTCTCTTTCTCAACTATGTAGTCACACATCACACTTGAGGATTTTTAGTCATAGTTGACATTCCCATCAGCTAATAGTTAAATAATCTAATCCCCTTTCATGCCAACTAAATAATCTTCACAACCAAAGTGAAGAATAATTTAAAACTAATCAGAGTTTATTGAATGTATCACCCTTTAATAAAAACCAAACTGGATCAAACAACAAAAACCTTTCTTGAAGAGCATAGTATACACTGTCACATTTTTGAGAAAGAACCATAAGTCTGGAGAAGAGAAAATGGAATTTTCTACACAACCAGTGCCACTGGGAAAATTCCATTAAAACAATAGTGATTGTTTTAGTATCAAATCAGGAAAAATTTGCTTCAGCACCTCCCCAAGGTGTATCTATGCCATGCTAAAACATTGAAATAAAAATTGGAAGAAATATTGATCACCTGTGTGCTCTGTTCATGTACATTTACTAAATAAAATTTATTACTTTTTTGCAGTTCCTATAATACAGTGCTTTTTATACTATAATGATGATGAGGATTACATTTAAAAAAATTTTTAAAAATACAGAATCTCAGGCCTCTTCTCAGATATTCCAATGCAATAGATCTGCTGTGGTCCTGAAATCTATATATATATTTTAAAATTCCCGAAGTAATTCTTATTTGGAAAACATTGCAGTAATTAATATAGTACAATGCATACAACCTTATAAAAATCAAAGTATGTAAAAAATAAAAGGCCAAGTTGTTGCTACATGGAGCATCCAATGTTGAGGGCTCCCTTCTTCTCATGTCCTCAGGCTTCCATGAGGAAGCACTTTCCTAAATACTCCCACACTTCAATCCTCTCCATGAAGGTGGAATAAGTAACCCTGATTGGAGGATTAAGCAAAGGGACTGGGCAGCCCAGTATCATTCTCTCTGCATCTTTCTATGGGATCCACCTCCCTGCACAAGATCTATGGGTGAGGCTGGCAGTTTTCAGTGCTCCCCATGATTGGTAGGTTTCCCTACAAAGGTCAGTAGTAGGAAGCTCAGTGGTGCCACAAGTCAGAGTTACACCCTCAAATCCAGCTTTGACAGTAAATAAAGATGAGATTTTGATATCACTCTTCCTAAATCTCTTGCCTTTCAAATTAAGTTCCTAAATCAAGATGGGAAAAAGGAGTTATTTATTGGCTTCCTGAAACTACATCTCCAACACTGTTACATTGTTAACTAGGCTTGTCCTTTTTATTTAAACTCTACCAGCCAGCTACTGTAACAGGTTTTACATGTGAAGTAACTTAATAATATTTGTATTTGCGTAATACAGTTCTATATTAAAGGCCTATAAAAAGGAGTGTAAAAATTTCATTGGAAGTTTTCAAAATGCATTGTTCAACTCCTATTAATTTTATTATTGAGCCACTTAGAAATTCCAGCTCTTGGAATTTTTCTTCAATAAGTACTAATTCTAGAATAGTATTTCCTGAAGTGTTCCATGGATTAATAGTCCAATAAGATGTGACTCTTATCGGGTTTCATGGTCAAAGAAGTTTGGAAAACATGAAAAATAGTATTGCCCTCCCCCACAAATTCAAAATGTGTATTAGGTTAGAAAGGCTCTAAGAGGTCCTGATATAAATAATTTGGCTTATTTCACCCTTCCCGCAATTAACATCCATCAATATCCAATGAAACTAAATTCCAGGTACCACAATATGGGAAATTCTGCTCTGGAAGATATTTCAGCAGTCAGATTTTTATTAAAAATAATACCTAAAACCTTCTATACAATTAATCAATAAAATGTTATTATCACCTATAAGTTACCAGTGCATCTGGGACAAGAATTGCCAACCATGACTGGGGAATTATGTAAATTCTGCAAGGGCAGAGGTTGAGTGTATTTGGGTGATTGTATCGCCAGTGCTTGGCAAAGGACAGCACACAGTAGTGTTGAATGAGTGAACAGATGATGTAGACCTAATCTAGGGATGTGAATAACTACCCCTTCCCCAGTGATGTCTTATTTACAAAAAGAAAGAAAGTCCCAAAGAGCCTTAGGCCAATGAGCTTCTAGAATAAAAGGAATACAATAATAGATCTTACTCCAGGGCTACCACATCCAACTTCTCCTTGGATCCTAAAGCATCTTTCATACTCACCCAATGAGTGAAATACTGATTTGTAATTCTGAAACTGGATTTTATAACAGAGGATGCACTTTGAGTCTCAACAAGGGGATGTGACACTCTAGCTCGCCACAGCTGCAGAATCAGGACAGCATCTACGTGAGGACAAATGCTGAGACTGGACTTGAGGTAAAGTAGAAGGCAAACAAGTTCCTTCTCAACTCTGTTTATCAAAAGTGAGGTGCTTAATGCCTAGGTTTTTGCATCTATACCTAAAGGTCAATACTGCTAAAGACGATTGATATTAGTACGGATGAGTGAGTCTGTTATCAAACAATGAATTGTAAATTTTGCATATCATTCTGAACCCAGAAAATGATCAGTATTAGCAGTCTTCAAAAAAAAATTTTTAATCCCCAAACTGAAACAACATACTTATTTTTAAACCTATTGAGAAAAATGTCCTCGGGGGGGCACCTGGGTGGCTCGGTCGTTGGGCGTCCGCCTTTGGCTCAGGTCATGATCCCAGGATCCTGGAATCGAGCCCCACGTCGGGCTCCCTGCTCATCGGGAAGCCTGCTTCTCCCTCTCCCACTCCCCCTGCTTGTGTTCCCTCTCTCACTGTCTCTCTCTCTGTCAAATAAATAAATAAAACAAAATCTTAAAAAAAAAATGTCCTCAAATCCTTAAGTTAAAAGGACCATTTGGAAAAAGAATCTGTAATATCAACCAATATTGAAAGATATAAAAAGGAGTGTTCCCGCATAAAGATACCAAATATTTTATATAAAAATATATTAATTCAAACTGTCATATATGGTTATATATTATACAATGTAATTTCTAAAACTTTGGGGAAAAATTTGTTCTCTAAGACTCTAGTTTGAAGAAAAGAGAATTACATCTACTTTTATGTAAATACCAAGAAGTCTTCTCTTTTTACATGTGATTACTACAGTCTCTGAACCAAAGTTTGGGATGAATAGACTGACAATTTGTGCTATTTGGGGGTCTGAGAAGCAGGATGGAAGATAGAGTTTGGGTACTGAACTTTAAAATTCATGGGACCTAAGTTTATAACAACAGCTGGGCATAATACTGTAACTTGTCCCTGACCTGGAAAATCTAGGTTATTAAATTATTAAGTAGCACAAGGCTTACTGCCTAAAAGTTCACAGCTTTTAAGACTGTACTGGGAGAAGGCCCAGGAAATCTTCTTTGAGAGTCTGAGTTCCCCTCCAAAACAAGTGTGACTTTGTAAGAAGCCTTTTTCCTTTTAGTCCCAAGATTTTTCGTGATGTATTTAAAGCCTGGAAGTTGTAAATCTCAAAATGGGCAATAAAACCTGAGGGTAATAAAGCAGTTTGAATGTAGGTGTACATGTCGTGTTTGGCAGACAGAAGCAGTACTGGCTTTTGTAGCATATTGGGAAGGTGTGGTGGGTCACCTGGCTGCCTGTTGCTAACTATCCAGTAACTCTTGCTGAAAGCTAGGGCAACCCAAGCAGCCCCAACCATATGAGAGCTCCATGGACTTCTCTCCAGGACAACTGAAGTAATGGGGTCTTTAGCTGGCCCAGACCACTGATCTTTGAAGCTGCTCAGAACTGTAATTCTTCCTGACCAGTTGTGAAGTAAGGCCTTGTGGTTGGAGTCGTGCAGCTGTTGGAAGGGTGCTTTTGCATTGACCTGCCTGAGAGGTGAGGCCACATAACTCTGTTCACCCCAACATGCTGCAGATCTCCCCATTTCTTTTTTTCCCAAATCTGAAGGGAGCAGAGTGACCTAAGGTTGCTTTTATTACGTATATGGGTATGGTCTCTCAGAAGAGGCCTACTCACTGAGAAGCAAAAATACTTTCACCTGTTTTTACCTTTGGACCTTGAAAATTAGTCTTTAAAAGAAGCAACACTAAAACAAACACCTGATGTATTACTTTGTAATGTACAGCTCCAATCTCAGAGCATACATATATATATTCTGTATATATATATTCTAAGACACGATTTAGTTCTCATGGTTTCATGAATCAGAAGCAGGCAGTGTGCCCCTCAATAGGAATAGAGTTAAAAATTCCACTTCTGCTCTTCACAAGCTTTGCAGAGTGTTCTGAACACATGGAGTATTTTCAAGAGCAGATACAGAATCCACTAACATTTATTGAGAGCCTTCAGGGTCCCACACTCTGTGCTACGTTTTACATATGTAGTGCCATTTAATCCTCACAGTGATATCAATCCCTCTCTAAGGTGCGTGTTACTTCCAGTTTGCAGATGAAGAATGGTCTCTCAAGTGGTACATCTTAGACTCACAAAAATTGTGGCAGAGCTACTAAGTCATGTCCTCTTACTAAGCCAGGGCTTCATTCCATGAGCCACAGAGCCCCCTACAGGCCACACCATAATAATATGGGAACCCATGGGAATAAGTAGGCATGGCCAGGAAGATAGAACCAATTAGAGACAAATGGGATTGAAAGTCTCCAGACAATCCAAAGATTTTTCTGAATTTATCTGAAGGGTACGCTAATGATTTGTGAAAAGGGTACCAAGTCATTTAGAATGTACCTTTTTATAGTGATATTCTATTAGACAAATTACAGATTTTTCAGAGCTGGGAACTAAAAGAATAAGTACTTGGTCATATGAAATTGATTTTCATATAATATATTATATATAATATATTTATGTTGGAATTATTCAGCCATAGAAAAGAATGAAGTCTTGCCATTTGCAATGACATGGGTAGAGCTAGAGAGT